GAAGGTCAGGATTATCAGAATCCTGTGTTGCCAAACTCAAGACCTGCTGTACTAGCTCCTGTGTTTCTGATGGCTTCTTGAGAAACAGTTTCATGATGGCAGTAAGCAGAGTGAGCTGCACCTGGGTGCTTTCATCATGAAAACCCTCCAGGAAGCTCTCTAGTAACTCATCTGCATTATCAATTCTTTCAGCATATCCTCCCACAATCCAAATCATAGCTGCTCGAGCATCTGGCTCATCCAGCGAGTCCAAGTTCTCACACAGAGTGGCAATGATACTTTCATACTTGTTGGGGTACTTGCGGAAGATGTCCCTGATGACAACAGTCGCCTCTTGGACCACATAACTTACTTTGGTCTGGACGAGATCAAGCAATGTGCTCACACAGCGTTCTGCAGATTGCTCCTCCTTGATGGCACACCGCCCAGTGGCCCACATGGCTTTGCGAACAAAGTCAACATCCACCTCTGTGGCATATTCCTTTCGTTCTGCCAGAAACTGAGCAATACTGGCTTGGGACGCCAAATGAATTATGATGTCCAAGGTCCCCAGTTTAACATAGATGGAATCATTGTACTTCACAAAGAAGACTTTGATTTCCTGCTTCAAGATTTCAGGCCTTTTCTGGACAATTAGGTTGATGTTCCTCAGGGCAACGTACTGCACCTCTGGCTCCCCAGACAGCAAAGTGACACGTGGAGGGGCCAGCTTCTTCAGCAACATGTTGTAGTAGTCCGAGTCCTTAGGTAACCACTCTAGGAATTTCATGAGGACTTTCACTGCTGAAAGCACCGCTGCTGAGTTGGCATGAGATAGCCGGGGAGTTACCTGCTCATAAATGCTCTGAGCCTCCCAGTCATCCTTAGGGTTGTAATGAGATAAGCAGTCCAGGATGAAAATCTGGCCCCATTCAGTGCACTCATTCAGGGCTGTCAGCAGCTTATTAATGTTCTGTGGGTTCAGATCGAGTAAGTTGCTGTTTGGCTGAGATTCACTGATTTCAGATAATGCTGCTACCGCATTAGCCACCACCATTGGATTTGAATCTGCTATGAGATCCCGCAGAGAATCCAGGAATCCCTGATCTTCCACCATTTGGGCATTGATATCATGGAGTTTTGCCACGCAGACTGCTGCTGGTTTTTGTTGGGTTTTTTGTTTGTTTGTTTTTTATTGTTAGTTTCAGGTATACAGAACAATGCAATAGTTATCCTTTTCACCCTTCACACAGAAACAACCCCCCTCCCCCCCTCCATTGCCTCCCACCCCCAGTATCATACTTATCTATTACAATTCCATTGACTCCATTCCCACACTCTACTCCATGCCCCATGACTATATGTATATATAATTATATTTGACATACAATATTATTCAACATTAGTTCAGAAATACAGTGTGGTGGTCAGGCCTCTACACCGACTATGAAGTGGTCTTCCTAACAAGACATGAGCTCATCTGACCCCCTAAAAAATATTTACAACATTATTGATTATATTCCCCAAACTGACTTTTCTATCCCTGAGGCCATATTATAGTTACCAATTTGTATTGTCTCGTCCCTTCCCCTTCTCCTTCATCCCCACCCCCTCCCACCTAGCAACCCTCAGTTTTTCTTCTGTGTCTCTGAAACTATTTCTGTTTACATTTCTCATTTATTCAGTTTTTTAGAATCCACATATAAGTGATATATGGTATTTGTCTTTCTCTGACTGACTTATTTCACTTAGCATAATGTTCTCTAGGTCCATCCATATCATTGCAAATGGAATGATTTCCTTCTTCATTATAGCTGAGTAATACTCCATTGTGTAAATGTACCATAGTTCCTTAATCCAGTCGTCTATCGATGGGCATTTCGGTTGTTTCCAAGTCTTGGCTATTGTGAATAGCCTGCTGCTGTTTTCTGGACATAGGGATCTTCATCCTTCAAGCACTTGTGGAGGTGCTCGTAGAGATATTCTGTCGTCTTGTCCACCCATCTGCACCCCATGGTTCTGACTGCCAGGGCCCGTATCAGAGGATTAGGATCTTCACAGTCCTTCACAAAGCTATTGATGGCCGTGATGGCCATGTCTGGCTGACTCTTGCCATAGTTCAACAAGTAGAGATATGCCAGCTTCTTTAGTTCCAGGTTTTTGGTCTGCATACAGTTCACTACATCTGGAAATAGAGAGCATCCTTCCCCACAGTCATAGCAGCAGTTACTTTCTTCACCGCTCCTTCCTCTTTTCTTTCTTTTCATTGTTGAGTTCAGCCTTTAATTCAAAGATTTCTCCTTTTTTATTGGTCGTGAAGTACTTGGAGTCAGTCGTGGTGTTGGATCTTTAATGTGCACCAGAGGCAAGGGCAGGGGTGGGGCAGCAGCCAGAGAGCGCAGCCTGAGTGGTGTTGTACTGAACGTTATTACACTTTTAATGCCTCACTTTTCTCATAAACTCTAAGGTCTGTGAAAACAGGAACCATATCTTACCTGCTCAACATTCTGTCACCTGTACTTGGTCTAGTTCCTGGCTTATAACAGTATCCAAATGTTTGTCATTTGATTAATAAGTGCCTTAAACCTATAGGAATTAAGTGTTTTAAGTTATGTTAGCTTCCAAAAACCCAGTCTCCTTCCTAAACATCCACATTCCTGACAGTGACATTATCAGTATCTGCTATACAGATGCTGACTCAGCCCTCTCTCCACCATCAAGGCAGTTGTTTTTTTCTTTCTCTTTTTTTGTTTTTTAAGGTTTTATTGGGGAATTAGGGGAGGGGAACAGCGTGGGGAAATCGGGGCAGCGGAACAGACAAGTTTCTGTCCTTTTGTTCTTCAGTCTAGTTGTGGAGGACGTCACTTCACTGGCCCATGTTGGTATTACGATCATTGCGCTCTTCCCGGCTGAAGCAGATCGGTCTCCAGCCATTGGACCCGCTCAGGGCAGCTCACGCTGGCTGCCGGCCATTCACGGTAGCTTACGCCAGCCCACTGCAGGATACGCCATCGCCAGCCACTCACAGCAGCCCAGCTCCAGATCGAGCTGTTGTTCACCACCTTAGTTGTAGAGGGCAGTGTCACTGACCCATGTGGGAACCGAACCGGCATCCCTGCTGCTCAGAGCTCGAGCTCCCAAGTCAACTCTTAACCAGCTGAGCCACGTGGCCAGCCCCCTTTCTTTCTCTTTTATCCGTAATTTCTTCTCCATTTCCACTGCCACCACCCTAGACCAGATCTTCTTCACCTCCATTTAATTGGACTCATTGTCTCTAATCTCTTGTCCTCTATTATATCCTACACATCTTCCTAAAAAGCAGTTTTCACATCTCTTTGTGAAAAAAACTTTGTTGGCTCCCCTTATGCCTAAAGCATGAAATCTAAACTCTTAAGTCCTTAACTCTCTTGTTCCTACTAAATCTCTAATCAGGTTTTCTAATACTGTCCTACACGAGCTCTTTCATTCTATCCAAGTAAGTCTAACTCTCATCCCCAAATACAAATACAGTGAGCATTTCTGTCCACTCCCTTGTTCATTTGTCCTCTTGCTTCCTCGGTACTTAAGTATTCCTGCTCTTCTTTCAAAACCCACCTGGAGTTTCACATTCTTCTTAAATCTCTCCCTGCTACCCAGTCCTCAGTAATCACTTCTGATTCTAAAGTTAGAGGATTTATTGTCTCTGCTGTTCAGCTGCCCTTTAACAAATGCTACCTTACAATGTTGTTCATCTTTTTTATGTGTTCGTTATGATAGTGAAGAGTATGAACTGCAGTCAGACTGCCCAGGTTCAAATCTGCCAGTACAGCTTACTCTCTGGGTAACTAAGCAAATTACTTAGTTAGCCCCTATAGACTTTAGCTATGCCACCTCTAAAATGGGGACAGTAACATTACTTCCACATTGTGAGAATTCAGTGTAGTAATACATCTAAAGCAGAATAAGTGCTCAGTAAATGTTGTCTATACAATTATTTGCACATTATTGATTGACCAGTTATTTTTAGATACCTGTTATGTTCTGGACACTGTACTAGATAGAAACAGTATAAACCGGTTAAGATAAAATCCTTTTCTAGCAAGGAAGTCACCTCTACCTTATCTTCCAATTAGATTGTAAGCCTCTTGCAGTCTCATTCATACAATCCATAAATACTTGCTGACTCTCTGCTATCTTCAAAAGCCCTGTGCCAGGCACAAGGAATTGTAAGGAGGCGTGATATAAGGTCCTCGGCCTTCAAGACCATTGTAACTAAGGCCGCTGCCATTGTGCTTTACACATGGTGAGAGCTCAGCGAATGCTCACTGGCATCAGCGAGCATGGCAGTGATGAGGAAGACTCCAGAGCACCACAGTTTCTAGCCTCTCTTTAGAGCTGTTAACTTTATTTGGCTTCTTCTTGTCTTCATTTTCCACTGAATGAATGCCAGAAAGTCTTTCTCAAATTTTTTTCTGTCTCATCAAGACTTAGATAATGTCTGCTTCTTTGGTAGCTAAATATCCCCCAAACTCAGTTTCATGCTTCAGTAAGACGATATCATGGTATTGCCAGTGGAAACCACTTCACATTTGGGCAACATCATAATGTCTAAGTGGCTCCCATTCAAGTTTCAGTATCGATTCTGGTTCATGCACATTTGCTGTCAAAAACCACTTTATAGGAGCCAAACTGTGGAATCCTTCCAAATGTTAGGCACTATTAGAAGTACCATTAAAGTACTGCAGAGTTTCAAAAGATTATGAAATTTTGATTTTTTTAACATAACATGTTCCATGATACTTCCATGAAATTTTAATCAGTGCTTTGTTTTTGTCATGAGGCTAAAGCAGTTGAGATCCTCATTTTTGTTTTTGTAGCATCACAGGTTTTAGAGAAAACTCCAAGTTGGAACTTCTGTAATAATTTCATACCCTTTTATACAAAAGTGGGCATACATTTTTATTTAAAACATTTTTATTTTAAGGATGTTTACAGATAAAGATAATTGTTCATCAGACTGTGGTATGATAACTGCATTAATTTAACATAAAATTTATTTCTAACTTCCTTACAGTCAAGACAGAAAATAATAATAATAATAATAGCCGACAATATTTTCCTCGCTTGAAAAGCAAAAACGTATACACTCATCTGAAAAAATATTTTCCTTGCAATAAATATCAAAGAAATTATCATATATTATTTACTTGTAAACAGCCAATTATTTGTGAAATATTTGTTTAGTGTCCATGTCCTCCATTAGATTGTAAACTCCTTGAAGTCAGTGACCACATCTGTCTTGCTAACCACCATGTCCCCAGCTCCTAGAAAAAAATGTTGGTTGAAATTAAAATGAAGTAAAATCACATGGATTCTTATCCAATAAACAGTAACTACCATGAAGGGCCATATCTTCCACATAAGTATTATATGTCACATGTATGATAGGAGTCCAGTTTCATTCTTTTGCTTGTGGCTGTCCAGCTTTTCCAACACTATTTATTGAAGAGACTATCCTTTCCCCATTGCATACTTCGACTCCTTTGTCAAAAATTAATTGACCATATATTTATATATGTATGGGTTTATTCCTGGTCACCCTATTCTGTTCCATCGAGCTATGTGTCTGTTATGTCAGTACCATGTTGTTTTAATTACTGTAGGTTTGTAATATAGTTTCAAATCAGGAAGTATGATGCTCCAACGTTGTTCTTTCTTAGGATTGCTTTGGCTATTCAGCATCTTTTCTGGTTCCATATAAATTTTAGGATTGTTTGTTCTATTTCTGTGAAAAATGCCATTAGAATTTTAATAGAAATTGACTGAATCTGTAGATGTCTTTGGGTAAAATGGACATTTTACCAATAGTAATTCTTCCAATCCATGAACACAGACTATTTCTGTTTATTTGTATCTTCTTCAATTTCTTTCATCAAGGCCTTATTGTTTTCAGTATAGATATCTTTCACCTCCTTGGTTAAATATATTCCTAGGCATTTTATTCTTTTTGATGCTATTGTCATTAGGGTGTTTTCTTAATTTCTCTTTCTGATATTTTTAAGTTTTTTATTGATGATCAATAAAAGTTTATATGGAGGGAGAGGAGAAAAATACAATAAAATAAAAAGCCTATAGTATTATAATGTTATTTCATGACTCAGTGATAAGACCTATATAGGAAACCACATTGATTTTTACTATAACTTCCTACAACTTTACTGTAACCAAAGATGAAAAATCTAGAAAATTGATAATTTAAATGTACCTTAAGCAAGTCTCTTGAATATCATTGTCTCAAACACAGTTTTGGCAGGAATTGAGTATTAGAGAATTCAAGGCTAAGCCCTCTGCAGAGAATCTTAAGTGACCATATTTTGTGTTATTGGCTAAGAGAGATACCAGACAAGCTATATAGTACAGTTGGTATATTCCATTATAAACGTGAAGAAGCCTAACTTAAAATCAGATAGGAGGACAATCAACCTTCACAGAGAAAAAGTTACACGTATCCTTATGCTTAGCTAATGTAGATAATAGCTATTTATTTGCTAAAAACCTATAAAATATAAGAATCATTGTTTTAAAGAAAACAGTAGTCATGATATAGCAAATGTAGTTACTATGTTTTTAGCAGAAGGGTTTCTATATTTGTTTACTTTGCTAAAGGTACAGTATAGTAGAAATAGGCTGTCAGTGTAATTTGGAAAGTTTGTAATGCAAAGTCATTTTCATTATAGGTAGAATTTATGTATCTAAATATAATTTTTCGTATAACATTGAAGCTTCATTTTAATGCCATTTACCATAAAGTACAATTTGGAATAAGGCAGATGTGTCTTGGGTCCCTTCCAAGAGGGCATTAGTACTATAATCTTGTTTCTCTTTATATGCCCACTGCCTAAAAGGGTCTGGCACATACAAAGCACTGAGGAATTGCTTGAACTAAAATGAACTGAGCTCTTCTAAGGTTATTCCACAACCTATATTTTTCAGGACAGCATTGTACTTAGCCTACAAGGCACTGAATTTTTTTATTATTTAACATCTCTGTATAGGAAGTAATCATCATATCCATTTTCATTATATATTTTCTGTTGATTGCTGACAAACTATGACATGTTATGACAGATGAGCTGTGACACACCTAGATTAGAAGCAAGGCAGAAAGGCCCAAAGGAACTTACTATCCAGCTTCCTTCATAGTAGCCTAATGCACTGATCTTGCCAACAGAAGCTCTATCCCAGTTTTCCCACTTTTAGCCCATTCATTCAGAGAACAGTAGCAGATTCCCAACAAATTCAAAAGCATGCACATTGGTTGGGATTTGTTACTATTTTTTGTGGCCTGACGAAGGCCACAGTTTCTATGGTATTAATATTCCACTCATTTTATCTCAGGTCTACAGATATTGGAGAGAGTTAACTTACTCATATGTCTATCCAATTCTCAGTCTCCTTTCTAACATATGGGTGGGGACAGTTTGAAAAAATGAAAAAGACATGGAAGGTCCCTGACTGTAAGAAGCTTTAACTAACAAATATATAGCCCTGGTAAGCCTTGTTGAAATACAGGGTTCCCCCAAAAATAAAGGGTTTTTTTTTTAACCATGTAAGTGATTATGTAAGAGCCTAAAGCTGCATCCTTAAACAAATGTCAAAACATCTGTCATATAGTGTGTGGATACGTTAAAATCTTTTTTTGGGGGGTAGGGGAGACAAAAGAAAAATATGTAGTGTTGCATTTGTGTTTGTTTCTTTTTTAATCTGTTTAAATGTGAAAATATATTAAAAATCAAAATAGTGA